AGAAGGGATCTTGGAAGGGATGCTGAGAAAGACAAGTCCCGGAATGTCCCAGAGATCCGAGAGACAGAGTTTAAACAACCATTATGGGAGCTGAGGAGACAGCTTAGCAGGTAAGGTATCTGCCACACAAGCATAAGGAACTGAGTTTGAATCCCCAGCATCCATAAAGCCAGGTATGCGGGACACACACCTGTAATACCAGCACTGAGGACAGAAACTGGAGAATCACTAGAGTTCTCTGGACAACTAGTCTAGCCAAATCAGTGAGCTCCAGGTTCAGTGAAAGACCCTGTCTCAAAAAATAAGGCAGAGAGCTGGGCATGATGGCACATGCCTTTAATCCCAGCACTCAGGAGGCAGAGGCAAGTGGATCTGTGAGTTCAAGGCCAGCCTGGTCTATATAGCAAGTTCCAGGCCAGCCAAGGCTACACAGTGAGACTCTGTTTCAAAAAAAAAAAGAGTGATCAAGGAAGACACCTAACATTAATGTCTGGCTTCCACATAAGCATATACAAGTGCGCACATACACACGCACACACACACACACACGCATATACCCTCATATACACATGCACTTACACATAAACCATTACTAAATAAAAGACCTCCCTAACAATTTCAAGTCGACCCAAATGTAATATGCAAAGATTATATTATTTTCTCTATTTTTAAATACTCAATGTATTTATGATTAAGGCTAATGTAGAAAAACTGAACATCATATATTCTTATAGAATTCAAAGTAAGTCAAACTGTGATTCATTTCCAGCAAAGCATATTTCAGAGCTGATATAAAAGCAGCAAAACAGCAAGCTGTTGGCACTTATCCCTGAATAATTTTATATTTCAAATTCAATTGTTTATACAGTTCTTGACACTCATGTTCAAGGGAATGGAATTTGAAATTTAAATAAAGTCCTTGCAAATATATACTATTGCAGTTGTATAAGCTGTGTATTAAGATGCAAACACTCATTTTTTAATTATTAGACACAAAATGTATCACAAGCTGTACAGTAAGTCCCTTGCATTTTGGTATGAGACACTCAGCATAGCAACTGAGCAGTAACTCTGGGCGTCATTAAGACATTTTATGCCTAATTCTGTCCAAGAATGGTCCCAGTTCTTGTGCATAGAGCAGTGCCTTCAACACACACGGGCCTCAGAGCCCATCACCGTGCTTCCCCGGCACGCTGAGGGATTGGGGGGTGGGGCGGACCAGACGGAGGTCCTTGGGGCTTCATTAAAAAGTCCCTAGCAGATGTTTTCAATGGTTGTTTGAAACATACCTGCTGTTTGCTACTCTGGTGAGATGCATGTGTGCCCTGCACGCAGAGCAGGACGGGAGCGTGGTTAGCCTAGACGACTGGGGAGGAGGGTGCAAAAAGGGGAAAAAATGCAGTCCTCACGCTTTTATTTTTGAAAATTGCGTAGATGGGTCTTGTCCTTGCATGATTTCTGTCTGTCCCAGCCCCGTCCAACCTCTTCCAGGTCCCCCTCACTCCCTTTTAATTTCTCATTCTCTTCATTGATTGCTATTGTTACCGATACGTGCACTGAGCTCATTTAGTGGTGCTCTTGTGTCCCTGTGCTTAGGGCTGCTCACTTGAGGCAGTCCTAGCTCTGAGTTTTTTTGTTTTTTATTTTTTGTCTTTTTGAGACAGGGTCTTCCTATTACCCCAGCTGACCTGAAACTCACTGTGTAGACCAGGCTGGCCTCAAACACACAGAGATCTACCTGCTTCTTCCTCCTAAGTGCTGGGATTAAAGACATGTACCACCATGCCCAGCTAATCCTAGCTCTTAAAGGCTGCAATTTCATGATTGAAAAGACATGAAGACAAGAGATTATCATACAAATAACATTTGAAAGCACAGAGGAAAAACCAAGTATTTTAGGTCAGAAGAGTTGAGACAGCAGAAAAGAGCTTGGCATGAGTTAGAGGGTGTGAGTCACTGATTACAGATGGATTAATGTTCTCCATTATGCACGGTTTTAACTGGGGAAGAGGAGGAGCCCATTCCAGGCAAAGGGAAATGTAAGAACAGAGCTGTGAAATTAAGCTTGGGTGTTGGGGATGGACAGAGGCCTGGCTGGCTGGAGTTCTTATTAGATAGAACTGATGGGCCAGCTTAATATCATGAACCATATAGAATTCAACTTGTTCTCTCATTCACCTGGTGAGAGTTTGGTCCCTACACTGAATCGTGTTCTATCATAGATGTGATAGACGAACACACAGGAAACCAGACAACGTGGACTTACAGAGCTCTCAGATGAGTGTGGGAAGGTCAATAAATAAAATGATGGCCAATTGTATGATAAAAGTTATGGGAAAAATAAACATGAGTCTACAAAAGAGAATAATGTTCTGTGTGTAGCACATTTGTGAGAAAGAGTTCTCTGAAGAGACAGTGTGTGTGTTGGGGGGACAACAGGGAGGCTGTGCTTTTGGCAGGAAAACAAGAGCAAAGACTAAGGGCAGGTATGGCCAGGGTGTGAACAAGCGAAGCGAAGAAAAACAGAGGCAGAGAGAAGCTGACACTTAGGGGTTGTCAGTGTGACTCTGTCAACTGGGGAATCCTCGGGGGTCTATATTTCAAGTGTTAAAGGACTTAATGGTTCATGACTCACTTGGACATACACCCTGTGGCTCACAACAGCAACCCTGTGGAGCTGGCTCAAGAGCTATTACAAACACGTTTTATAAATTAAGTCACTCTCCTGTCTGCAGTTTCAGCCCATTTTCTACTGAAGTTCTTGAAGAGAGAGATGCTCTGATAATGGGTGTATGTACACCAGTTGCATGGATGCAGAATGAGTAGAGATGAAGCCCGGGGTATGGAAAGGTGAGACCTGGGGGCTGAGAGCCAGACTGCACCAGAGCAGGAGGAGAGACTGCGGCCTGGGCTCCATTCCACCAGCCTCGCCAGGCTCTGGTCCCTATCTCCTTTACTGGACTGGCAGGACCGTGTGAGGAAGAGTGGAATTCCACAGGGAGCGTTTACAGCTCTACAAAGACGCCTTGTGGCTGAATGGATGGGAAGAAACTTCTCTGGGAGACTTTTTAACACAGAGGGGACGGTCACTCACAAGTCCGAGTGGCGGCTCTTGTTTCCGTCTCCCTGCAGCTTTCCGGAGCTCTGTTCACTCTGTTTTTCATTACATCAAATTGATAAAGTCTGTTTTCTCTGAACTTTTGGATATCAAAGAGCACATTTCTCCGTGTTCTGCTGTGAATGTGGTCGGCTGGCCTCTGTTTGCTGCCGAGAGCAGAAAGTGCTATTCTTGTTGGATTCAGTCCCCAAGGACCTTGAATGATCAGGCTGTAGACTGCCTATCATCAGCAACACAGGCGAAAACTTCCTGAATGGTTTTATTTCGAACACTTGTCACCAAATATAAGCAGGCAAAGGCTCAAGGCTTGGTAAAGGGCGGGGAGGGAGAGGGGAAAGCGACAGACAGTGGAGAAGAGACGAGGAAGGAATGAACCGCAGAGACATGAAGGGAAAGAAGCAGAAAGTCACCCGGTTCCTGCTTAAAATCCAAAGCATTAGAGACCAAGGAGGACTCAGGCGACAGAGAACTCAGAGGAACAGGATCAAGAGAAATACAGAAAGCAACTAAGGATGGCCCAAGAGAAGGAAAACGGGAGCTGGGAGCTGGCTGGATCAGTACGTCCTCGCTGCACGGGGACCTGAGTTTGGAGCCCCAGAACCCATGCAAAAAAGCTGGGCGTAGTGGCCCGTGCCTGCAGGCCCAGGGCTGGGGAGGCGGACGGGAAGGTCCCGAGGGCTCGGTGGCTGGCCAGTCTACCTGAAGCTTTAGCTCTGGCTCCAGTGAGAAAGCCTGTCAAAAGATAAGATGAGTCCAACAGAGAAGGACATCCATGTCTGCCTCTGGTCTCTACATGCGTACTTGCACACATTCAATGACACACACATGAACACACAAGAGAGAGAAAATCAATAGTAACCACATGAGCACAGAAGCTTCCTGACACGAACTTGGTGTGGAAAAAACAACGTAGACAACATCTACTCACACAGCAGTATTTTATGAGAAAAGGAGCTGCTGAAGTGGAAGTGGGTGATGCCAACTTGCCTTGAATTTACTTAAACAATCTTTTACTCTATAGTTTAAAGGACCCCAAGCGTCAAATAATAAGGTTGTACACTAAAGCAAAGTTCAGGGACATCTGGTCTTTGTAGCTACTATCCCCTTCCTTAAAAGTTTATTTATTTACATTTATTTATTTAGTGCATGTGTGTGATTGTGTGTATGCAATCATGTGTGCATGTGTGTGCATGGCAGAGGTCCACTTTGGGTGTCTTTCTCTATCGCTCCCTGTCTTTCCTCTTCTGTGAGACAGGCTCTCTCACTGAACCTGGAACTTGGCATTTCAGACAAGCTGGCTGGCCATCAGGCCCTGGGATCTACCCGTCTCTGCCTCCCCAGTGCTGGGATTATCTGGCATTTTATGTGGGTACTGAGTATTGAACTCAGGCCCACATTTGTGTGCCAAGCATTTTACCCACTGAGCCATCTCCTTGGCCCTGCCTAAAACATTTACGGTTAATTCCTTTCATTACAATTTCCAGCCACCAAAAAGCCACTGAAACAACCAGACCAGATATTTCTCTCTCTCTTCAATTACTTCTTTGTAGAATTAACTCACTTCATGTCTATACAACCTGGACCCAGAGGATGCCAGTTAGAACTTCTCTAATTCATGTTGCTTAGCAGGGCGAGAGGAATCACACCAGCAATGTCTTTCGAGTTTTGATGCAAAAATCTTGCTAATTCAATAGCAGTTCATTACTTAGCACTGGAAGACTGATTTTCACCCTTGCTTTGTATTTCAGTTACTGGATAGCCATGTGTGTGGAAGGGTGAGCCATCTGCAGGTATCCACCTACACTGGGGTTGCAGGGTTGCAGAGGCAATAATAACATCTGAGGTCCTGCCAAAGACTCCAGAAAGCCACAGTGGAACACACCAGGCATAGAAAGGGCTGAAGCTGACCACAACTAACGTAAAGATTTGGCATGGTAACTGGGACTTGTAAGGCTTTCTTCTCAGAAGATTCAACACTGAGTAACTCGTCCCTTCCTGGTTTTCGATCATTGTTTTCGCTGCAGTCCTCGGCTTGGAGAGCTGTCCATCACCTTTGGTTTGAATGTTGGCTAGCTCATCAGTGGAGCGCAGTTCACATTCCGGGAGCATGCCCAGAACCAAGCCTCTGTTTTCGTGTTTACGCTGCGGTGTAAGCTGTCCTCTCGTTGTGGTTGTGCTGCAGGCAAAGTGGAAGATTCTCAGAATCTACTTGCCTCTGAGGCTGGGGTTTCTCCTTAAGGGAAAGATTCGTCTTGAAAATCGCCACCTGGGAGTTTTGGTTCTGTCTGATGCCGGCTCCTGGAAGGTTTCTTCACACCCCCTTACCTTAGTCCCCAGCAAAACCTTATTCTTTCCTCCACAACACAGAGGTGGGTGAGGGGAGATGGTGCCACCTCTGCTGACCTGCAGAGCTCCTCATAGGAAGAGGCGAGCTGTGGCTGGCAAGATGGCTCAATGGGTCACAGCACTTGCAAGCAAGCCTGATGACCCGAGCTTGGTCCCCAGAACCCACATGGTGGAAGGAGAGAACCAACTCTGAAAGTTGTCTTCTGACCAGCACGTGCACACACATACACACAAATCTAATAATAAATGTTTAAACAGAGGAGGCTGGAGAAACAGCTCAGTGGTTACAAGCACTGACTGCTCTTGGAGAGGACCTGGATTTGGTTACCAGAATCTACACAGCAGCTAAAAATATCCATAATTTTAGTTCTAGGGGTTCTGAACCCACTTCTGGCCTCTGTGGGCACTGAATGCACATGGTGCACTTACATACATTTGAACAAAATACTCAAACACATAAAAAACAATTTTTTAAAAAAAATTAAAAAAGAAAGAGGCTGGGTGTGGTGGCACACATCTTTAATCACAACACTCAAGAGGCAGAGGAAGGTGGATATTTGTGTGTTTGAGAACAACCTGGTCTATATAGTGAGTTCCAGGAGAGTTGGGACTATATAGTTGTATAGCAAACAGCCTGTTTCCTCCGAGGGGTAGGGTCTGCTGAGGAGAATTGACTATGGAGAGCTAGCCACGGGAGGAGAGGTGTTCTGCGCCATCTTGGGACGGAAGCCATGAGCCGCCAGGAACGTGCTGTGGGCACGGAGAAAAAGATGGCCCCGGCATCTCACCCATGTGGACACAAGAGGGGCCATTTACCAACCTGGAACTAGACTGCAGGCCCAAGATGCATGGGGAAAAGTTAACCGAGACTGTGGGCGGGCGAGGAAGCGATGTGGAAGGGCAGCTGAACCCAGCCGTGCAGAGTGGGGTGCCCCCTGGGGTGTGTTTCTTTGTAAGTCCCCCCATTTACCCCCTCCCTACTCAAGGGCATAAACCATAATAAATTCATATAAAAATATGTTATATGGTTTTTCTGATTACACAAGACACCCCGAGAGAACTCTGACGACAATAATGAGACCTTATCTCAAAGGAAGGGAAGGGGAGAGGAGAGGAGGGGAGGGGAGGGGAGGGGAGGAAAAGAAGTGAGATAAGTCCATGTTTGTGTGTTTAGAAAAACACAAAGAGAAGACTAGAGAGATAGCTCAGTAGTTAAGAGCACTGGCTGTTCTTGGAGTGGATCTGGGTTTGATCCCCAGCACCCACATGGTGGCTAACAACCATCTGTAACTCTAGTTCCAGAGGATCCAATGCCCTTTTCTGACCTCCTTGGGCACTGCATGACATGGGTGCACTTACACACATGCAGACAGTACACTCATGCACATAAAATAAAAATAATAAATAAAATATTTTTTATTCACTAAATAATCACATAATTAGAAGAGCATTTCATTACAACAGCATTGACATATTCAATAACAATTTCCAGAGCTAAGATGCATCTCAGAATTGGCTATAAATTTTTAGGTTTACAGTTTAATTAATACAGTTATATGATATTAAACTCAGTATAAACCCTGTAAGACATAAAATTGAATGAGGTTTTAACCTTTAAAAAAGATCTCCATTTCATTATTAATATATACTGTTTCATACAGAAAATCTCATTTTAAATGCAACTAACACTTAGATGTTTGCACATGCATCTCTAATCTTTATATAACTGATTATTAATCACTAGTCACAGTTGGTTACTTTCTGAGATCCTTGGCACCTGAGCATGGATATAAAGTCATCAGGTAGATTTCAATGGTAATGTGTTTCACATCTACTAATTAACATGAACCAAATGTTTATGCTTCTTCCTCAAATATAACTCATTTTTAATTGATTTTTTGTGTATTTCATACAGAACATCCCAAACAATCTTATTCATCTATATAACCACATCCCAAGTGACACCTCCCATAGCCCCTCGCCCCCCAGAGCCCATATACTCTGTCATCCCTGTTACTGTCCACTGTATTGTCAGTGCCCCCAGCCATTCCCCAGTGCTTATCCATCCACTGAGTCTACTCATCCTATCTAGAGTTCCTTGTTTTAGGAAGATCAGCTCTTCCTCGTCTAACAGCAATCAGTTGCCAATATTCCTTTAGATAAGATTGGGGTCTGCTGTTCATTTTCCCAGTTCTATGCTGGATTACTGTCTGGGAGTCTCTTGGGCCACCCTGGCCAACAACTCAAAGGAAGGTATCTTCTGCCTGGCATTGTTGCTTGTTATGTAGCCTTTAGCTATATACATGGACTCTTAAAGAATTATACTGATCCCTTTAATTTGGGGGAATGCTTTCCTTTTGGGTGTTTAAGACCATGCAGTTGGCCCAGATTAACCAATTTACTTTTACTTTCAAGGTCATTTGAGGATCTGTTCCTCAGGGATCACATGGGCTTAGGAGGAGCCCCTGGCTCCTTTCCTCTACCAGTTCCATCTATGTGAAGATAAGCCAAAGGTCCTGCTTGACCATGGTTGGCTTCGCTTGGAAGCACGGAGGAAATGATTCCTCTGTGTTGACCCTCCTCTTTGTAGGAGGGTCAACTGGTTCAAGTCCATCTGGTGGGGTCTCCATGGACTCCTTGTTGAAGAGGACAGGTGACTCACCGCAGTTACAAACATTTTGAGATATGTTCCATAGTCCCCTGGAATTTAGTCAACCTTGGAGGGCAAGGAGCAAAAATTGTCCTTTAAGTCCCTCTGACCAAATTAGTATAGGCCTCAAAGTATGGCTCTTAAACATCCATGAAGTTATTTTTTTAATATTTTTTTATAAAAAGAAAGATGCAAAGAGAAGCATAAGGCCAGAACCTCAGCATGAATTGCCCTATAAATTATTGGAGCTTTTGTATCGCCATCCATGTGCAGAAGTCTTAAAAGACATGCCTTACTGTCCAAAGAGTTTGTACCAAATCTATAAAAATATTCTGTTTTCCTAACATTCAAGGCCTGAACTATCTCAGTGGCATTCATGCAGGTTACTGCACTGTATTCTACTTCCCACACACCTCCAAACATGAGCATTCCAGGAAGCCATTCTTAATGAAACTTCATCCTTGGAGCCATCCACCATCTGATCTTAGACAAGCTCTCACACACAGCCTCTGTTCATTGCTTTGATTCTTCCTCAATCTTTCTTCACGGGCAGCTGTTTGTTTGCTTGTCTCCAGGTTGGCTTAATGCCAGAGCCCTATCGTGATCCACCTTACCACCTTCCTACTCCACCTGCTGATCCAAGATGAAATCACCTATGGTTTTCAAGGCCTTAGTCCTGAGCAGCTCTTGGCTTTCTCTAGAGAACCAGATGCTTATTTTTCAGTTCGAACATCTGTCTTCCGCCATTCTTCAGCCCTCTCACTCTGCACATCTAGATGACTGACGTGTCCTATTGCTTTACCTCCCAGAATGTTCTTTCTCCTCCCTATCTCATTACCCCTGACCCAAAACTTCATCATCTCTTGACTGGACTGCCACCACAGCTTTCAAACACCTCCTGCGGTTTCTGACCCTCTTGACCAAGTTCATCAGATGCAGAACTTGACATAGAAGCTCATTGGTCAAAACCTTTCAAGATTTTGAATTGCCTACAAAATAAAAATCAAACTTCTCAGTGAGGCTCTTCTTAGGCTGCTCAAAATTATTTCTATCCTCTGTCTCACATGTAACCTGTACCCTCTCAAATTGTAGTAGCCTTGGATTTTACTAAACCATATAAATTTGCTGGTACTTAAGCGGTTTTGTCCTAAGAAAGCTTTTCTCTGTCTTTCACCCTGAAATACACACACAGACACACACACACAATCTGTCAAAACTTTAAGACCAAGCATAAATGTTCTGTCCTCTCTACAACAATCATTGGCCTCAGTAAGTTAAAAGGCAGGTTCTCTTTGGGCTTCTAATTTCTGCACATCACAGCATCTTAGTTATTTATATATGTTTGTGTCTATCAATAAAGTATGGGGATGCCTAGAGCAGAAGAGAATTAATTACCTCCATATCATTACTTCTAGCTGTCTAGCTAGTACTTAATAAGCATTTGTTAAATGAATGAATGAATGAGCAAAGGATCTCCCTGGATCTTTTACAAATGAGCTGATAAAAAATTTTGATCCCAAAAGGAAGGAAAGAGATGGAGAGATGGTTCGGTGGTTCAGATCTCTGGCTGCTCTTGCAGAGGACCCAGGTTCAGTTCCCAGCACCCACATGGCGGCTAACAACCATCTGTAACTCCAGATCCAGGTGATCTAACACCATTTTCTGGCCTCTGTGGGCACTGTATTACACATATGCACTTACCTGAATGTAGGCAAAACACTCATACACATAAAATAATATAATATTAAAAATGTAAAAGCAGGCGAGCTTGCTGATTCATTAGACTGTAGAGTGCCTCTTCACTCCTCTCTATCAGCTTTTCCCCTTTTCCTGGATGTATTCATCCTTCCCAGACAGATCTAATGCAGCCATGAAGGAATGACCACACGCTGCTGGGCACGTGACGGCAGTGAGCCCTGTGTACATGTACAGCCCTGATCAAAGCAGATGTGTAAGATACCACTGGCAACATCCCAGACAGCAGCAGGCAGACACAGACAGCAGTGGAAGGCCACTAATTCCTGCACAATCCTCAGACCTTTCCTGGTAACATTCTTTTCAGTAAGCACCAATGAACTTACCACACCAACAGTGCCTGAGAGACCTTGCAAAACACAAAGGCTTTCATCGCAGAGCCTCTTTCTCTTGAAAGTTGCAGCCCCCGCTCATAAATTTGTGGAGTTCATGATTAAGAACAGTCCAAGAGAAATGGTCCAAGTGCGTTTTAAAGTGGAAACCACATATGACGAGAATGACAGATGCCAGACTATCACAGATTTCACGTGTGATTTTAGATCAAGAGACTCCTTGTGCCACAATTCTTCAGTCGTCTCTGATACCCAGAGAGGAGCAAAGGAGCCTGACTTGTCCAGGTATAAGTGGGATCTGTGGGAGACTCAGGACAGAACACAGCAGGTCTCGGGCTTGGGAAAAACTTAAGCCAGAACTAGGAAACAGACTTCATCCCAACCATACCTCTCTCTCCCCAAGACATCAGAGGAAAGGTACCAGGAACCAAAGTGAAACTCTGTTTGCAGTACTGGAGACCCAACCTAGGGCCTTACACATACTAGGCAAGCAATCTTCTGGTGCGCTATCACCCCAGCCTCTTTTCACTTTGTATTTTGAGACAAAGTCTCATTAGGTTGCCAGACTGGCCTTGAACTTTCTGTAGCCCAGGCAGATCCTGAACTTGCAATCCTCTGGACTCAACCTCCCTGACAGCTGGCATGGCCCAAGCCCCAAACACAATGTTCTCATAACTCATATTGCTAGTTTACTGAAATTCATAGAACTGGTTCTACAATTAAAAGCAGTACATTTCTTAGATGGGTTTAATTACTTATTGTCAATGAATGGTCATGGAATTTCACAAAACTCCCTTTCCACTGGGCATGGCAGCACACACCTATAATCCCAGTACCTGGGAAGCAGGGGCAGGCAGATCTCTTTGAGATTGAGGCTAGCCTGGTCTACATAGTGAGTTCTAGCTCTGTCTCAAACACGAAACAAACAAAATAAAACCAAAACCAAAATACCTCCCTTTCCACTCACAGTCAAGGGGAGATGTGCTGATCGTTTTAAAATGCCACCTTGGGCAGCTGCAAGAAACATAGGCTGGATGGTTTAAGAACACACAGGGGCTGAGGAGATGGATCCTTAGGTCAAGTACTTGCCTTGCAAACACAAGGACTTCAGTTCAATCCCCAGAAACCAAGTTGAAAAAAGAAAGTTGGGTATGGTGGTACACACTTGTAATCACAGTACCACGGAAGGCAGAGACCAGTAGATCCCTGGGGCTGGTTAGTCAGCCAGCTTAGCTGAATCAAAAGCTCCGGGACAGTAAGAGACTATGTCTGTCTCAAAAAACAAACAAACAAAAAAAAAAAACCCAAAAACAAAGTGGACAGCGCCTGAGGAATGACACCCAAGACTGATCCTGGGCCTCCGTGTGCATGTACACAGGCGTGCACGCACACAGACACATGCACACACACACACACATACACATACACTCACACAAAATGTTGGCAGTCACTTAAATCTGCTCTGTAAATTAAACTAAAATCCACATTTAACCACTTTTCTTTGGTGAGAATATCTGATTATAGGCAAACTGATCTGGTGTTTTTTAACCCAAAGTACAGATCACTTAAGTCATGTGAAAATGTAGTTCTAAGACATTACAGCTGGGTTTTGGATAGTGAAGTGAGGTCTCATGCCCTTGACTCTCAGGATAAACAGAACCCCAGGAAGTATAAGAACATGGCACTCATGTCAGGGGAGGCCACTTTGTCCCAGGCTTTCAGTGCACAGGCCTCACGCTAGGCT